GCCTGGATTATAGGCATGAGCCATCTCACCTAGTCCCATGACAGGTGTTTTTTGACCAAAAAAAAATGCACCCTGTTTATATTTTATTCTGTAAAAAGGCAAATTTTGAAGCATGTTAAACGACTAAAAGTTTTCATTGGAAGAAGAACTCAGAAACTCAGAGTGGTGAAACAGAATTGCTTAAGTTTAGGGTTTTTTTGTTGTTGTCTGTTTGTTTGTTTATCTGTTTTGAGACAGAGTCGTCCTCTGTCACCCAGGCTGGAGTACAGTGGCGCAATCTTGGCTCACTACAACCTCCGCCTCCTCAGTTCAAGCGTTTCTCCTGCCTCAGCCTCCTCAGTAGCTGGGATTGCAGGCACCTGCCACCATGCCCAGCTAATTTTTTGTATCTTTAGTAGAGACAGAGTTTCACTGTTTTGGCCAGGCTGGTCTCCAACTCCTGACCTCGTGATCCACCTGCCTCGGCCTCCCAAAGTGCTGGGATTACAGGCGTGAGCCACTGCACCTGGCCACTTGCTTAGGTTTAGAGACTAATGAGTGGTAAGGGATTCTGCTGAGTTCTAACCCAACATTCTTCTCTCCTTCCCCCCATTCCTCAGCACTACTTCTGCATGTCATTCTAAGTCTGCATGCCTTCTGGCGATTGGATGCTTTATTGAATAGTGCTGTTATTTCCCTGGGGCTGAAAGGCAGAGGCATAGGCAGTTTTACAAGAGACTGAAAAATACAACAATGACACAAAAGGGTGGGGTCGTCCCACTAGGACTGCTTGCTACTGTGTGCTTGCTTCAAATCTCCACCAACTCCTCGTAAAACCTGGGACTGGAATTCTCCAGGCCCCACAGCCGCTATCACAGCTGCCTGTACCACACATGTGCCTCCCTGATGTGGCAAGGGTGGCCATATGCGGCTTATTAATAAACTTTCTCTGTCTTACAGATTGCGTCGAAGATGCCAGATTTCCCCAACGACTGTGTTTGCTGGACTCTCCCTCATCAAGTCTCGGGTAGCTATAAACACAGCCATCTCTGATTCCTTCTTAATGACTGGAGGTAAAAGATTCTGCTGTCATGCATTTATTTTAAACAGGTGATCTATTACTACAAGGGATTAAATTAAACAACACTGTTGTATCACTTCAATAAGGTTTGGCTGTGTCCCCACCCAAATCTCATCTTGAATTATAGCTCCCATCATTCCCACGTGTTGTGGGAGGGACCCAGTGGCTGGTAATTGAATCATGGGGGCAGTTTTCCTCATGCTGTTCTTGTGGTAGTGAATAAGTCTCTTGAGATCTGATGGTTTGCTAAGGGGAAAGCCCTTCCTCTTGGCCCTCATTCTCTCTTGTCTGCTACCACGTTAAGATGGGCCTTTCACCTTCCGCCATGATTGTAAGGCCTCCCCAGCCATTTGGAACTGTGAGTCCATTAAAACTCTTTTTGTTTGTTTGTTTGTTTGTTTGTTTGTTTTTTGAGGCAGAGTCTCACTCTGTTGCCTAGACTGGAGTACAATGGCAATATCTCGGCTCACTGCAACCTCTGCCTCCTGCCTCAGCCTTTTGAGTAGCTGGGATTAAAGGCATCCACCACCACATCTGGCTAATTTTTTATATTTTTGTTAGAGATGGGGTTTCACCATGTTGATCAGCCTGGTCTTGAACTCCTGATCTCAGGTGATCCCCCCACCTCGGCCTCCTAAAGTGCTAGGATTACAGGTATGAACCACCACACCAGGCCTAAAATTCTTTTTCAGATGTCTCATCCATTTTCCTAGCTCATCCTTATTATATGAATGGGTTTGATATTTCTTTCCCATTTTTGCCATGCTCTTTTTATTATTATGAAACAATTCTGGCATATAAAAAGTATAGAGAACAGTATAATTAGTAAGCATGTACCCATAGCCTGCATTACACATAGTTAAAACATAGTTACAAAACATAATCAAAACCCAGAAGTTTCTATGCACAATCCCCTAAACTTCTCCCAGGCCATAGATCTAAAAAATCCTACACACCTTTATTCCACCTTAAAATGAAAATTTTGGCTGGACCTTACCATTTGGACAAAACTTCAGAATGGTAGTTCTGTTTGGGAGCTAATAAAGGAAAAAGGCAATGAATAAAGGATAGAAAAATTTACAGCTGGGCCTCAAACGCTGAAAATTTTGTGTTTTTCTAATTAGGATTGTTCGTCTATCCATTAGCTCCGAGAGAAAATGGCAGCCACCATTTTTCTCTCATCCACAATAATCAGATCGATGGTTTTCAAACTCTATTCCCTGACCCCTTAGTAAATCATGAAATCAATTTGGCAGATTAGGACCAGCAAGATTAAAAGTAACAAAGCACGCTGGGTGCAGTGACTCTTGCCTGTAATCCCAGCACTTCGGGAGGCCGAGGCGGGCAGATCACCTGAGGTCAGGAGTTCAAGCTGAGCATGATGGGGCACACCTGTAATTCTAGCTACTCAGGAGGCCGAGGCAGGAGAATCGCTTGATCCTGGGAGGCAGAGGTTGCAGTGAACCAAGATCACACCACTGCACTGCAGGCTGGGTGACAGTAAGACTCTGTCTCAAAAAGAAAAAAAAAAAAAAAATTGAGATTAAGAGCCCTCAGTTATTTAGAATGTAATCAACTACTCATAATATTTATGGAACACTACACAAGAGAAAAAGAGCTTAATAATTAGAATGTTTTTTTTCTTTTTTTTTTTTTTTTTTTGAGACAGAGTTTTGCTCTTGTTACCCAGGCTGGAGTGCAATGGTGTAATCTCAGTTCACCACAACCTCTGCCTCCTGGGTTCAGGCAATTCTCCTGCCTCAGCCTCCTGAGTAACTGGGATTACAGGCACGCGCCACCATGCCCCGCTAATGTTTTGTATTTTTAGTAGAGACAGGGTTTCACCATGTTGACCAGGATGGTCTCCATCTCTTGACCTCGTGATTCACCCGCCTTGGCCTCCCAAAGTGCTGGGATTACAGGCTTGAGCCACCGCGCCCTGCTGCTTGAGTCTTATTTATCCTTGTGTTCTCAATCCCTCCTATTGCCCAGTGATTTTCAAAGCCACATGCATAAAGTCAGCATTTCATTAAAGGTGTTTCAAGGATACCCGAAATTGTGTTTTAATCAGGTGTGGTAAGGCATGCTGACGTGGAAATGACTGTCACGAAGGAAGAAGTTATTTGTACTCACGGATCCCTGAAAGCAGGGGCTATGACACAGCACGCAGGGCCACATGGGAAAGCGCTGGGGTCTGTGGAGATGCAGAGGGAGCGAGAGGTAAATAGGGGCAAGAGTCTTTACTGTGGTTCTGCAGGAAGGAACAGGCTAGGCAGGGTAAGCAGGCTAAGCAGGTTTAGGGTTAGCAGCTAGTTTGAGTAATTTCAGTGGGCCTTGGGGTTAGGGGAGATGCCCCTAGTTTTGGTATCTGGTCCTGAGGTCAACAGGACACATGGTAGATAGTGGCCCTGAGTGTGAGGGCTTTGCGAGAGGTGAGGCAAGAGGGAGGAAGGAGATGGTTTGGAGTCTGGGCTCTGGATTGACCAGTTTGCATATGCAAGAGGTGCTGCAAGGCAAATTGTTCCTACCTCTAGGAATTGGCTAGCCCTGAGAGGGGGCCTCTTTCTAGGGTCAGCAAGGCCCCAGGATGTTCAAGCATCAAACATACGGAAAAGAATCGCTTGACGCCAGGAGTTCGAGACCAGCCTGGGCAACACAGTAAGGCCCCCCACCTACTCAAAAAATAAAAACTAAAAAAAAAGTAAGATTAAAACAGTTTTTGAAGTGGAGATAGAGTATCTGATTGATACAGTTATTCTGTGCAAGTTCTGTTGTGAGGCACAAAGTAGAATATTTGCCCATAATTCATATTCTCTCTCTCTCTCCTTTTCCTCCTTATATGCCTAGTTTGGAGCTTGGTATGTAACGGGTATTCAGAAATGTTCGATTTTCTTCCCCTTACATTTAAATATCATAATTTTGGCCAAGTGCAATGGCTTATGCCCGTAATCCCAGCACTTGGGGAGGCTGAGGTGAGCGGATCACTTGAGGTTAAGAGTTCGAGACTGGCTTGGACAACATGCTGAAACCCTGTCACTAGTAAAAATACAAAAATTAGCCAGGTGTGGTGGCACATGCTCGTAATCCCAGCTACTTAGGAGGCTGAGGCATGAGAATCGCTTGAACCTGAGATGCAGGTTGCGGTGAGTCAAGATCACACCATTGCACTTTGACCTGTGCAACAGAGTGAGACTTTATCTCAATAATCATAATAATTTTGAATTAGTAGATATAAACTAAAGTAGTTTCTATGTGAAAGTGGACTCATTAGAACGTAACTTTTCATCAAACCAAAATATGTCATATTAAACGACTATCTTTGCCCATGTGGAAATGAGCATCTCTGGCACACTAAAGCAAAGGAAGTATGGTAATAGTGGATTATATATATCAGAGTTGTCGGGTAAAAATATAGAATGCCCAATTAAATTTGAATTTCAGGTAAACGACAAAAATGTTTATATATGTCCCAAATATTGCATAAGGCATACTCAGACTAGAAAGATATTTGTTGTTTTCTTGAAATTTATATTTAACTGGACATTCTGTGCTTTTATTTACTGACACCTTAATGTGGTGGGCAGAATTCTAAAAGTAGACCCCCAGGAGTCCCTATGCTAATCTCTGGAGCCTGTGAATTTGGGAAGCACCCTGCTGGAGAGGCCACGGCATAGCTGTGGGGAGGCTCAGGCTTCAGTTTTTCCATGCCCACCATTTGCCCCTTTGTCTTTGATGGAGTTTCACCAAGTTGGCCATGCCGGTCTCGAACTCCCGACCTCACGTGATCCTCTGGCCTCGGCCTCCCCAAGTGTACTTTGACCAGCAGGGCATGTAGGTGCCCATGCTCCCCATCCTACATGTTCCCAGGTTCTGTCCCACGGCGCAGGCGATGGTCTCCTTCTGAGCTCTGTGTCCACCCCCCGCCCCGCCCCACCCCGGCCTAGTTCTCCAGCATCTGCTCACAGGTTCGAGCCACATCACTGAGCCTGAGGCGAGCATAGCCCACTGGCTTCAGAGCCATCTGACAGTCCTTCCTCAAAGAGCAGCTGGAGCCCTCATGGGGCTGCCCTGTGGCCACCCGGGTGAGGTGGCGGATCCGGGCTGACAGCTCCGCCTCCACGTGTTGCATGGAAGCGGTGAAGGCCGCCGCCTGCAGCTCTAGAAGCCGCTGGTTGGTTTTTGCCTTGGACAATTCTAGGATCACCGTACCTGCATTCTGAAGGATGGCGCTGATTTCCCGTTCGATGTCTTCCAGGGCGCGTAGTCGCTCGTGCGCCAGGCTGTAGGTAGCCATTGTCACTCGGGGAATCCTCCTCAGGAGTTTCCCCTGAGAAACGCAACGCTTGTTCCGGAAGTGGCTGTCCGGAAGTGGCTGTCCGGAAGTGGCTGTCCGGAAGTGGCTGTACGGAAGTGGCTGTACGGAAGTGGCTGTTGGTGTGCGCCTGCGCAGAGGGCCTCATCGTTGCTTTAAAGCTAAATGACAGACCAAATTGCTCCCATCCTTAGCCTGGCCAATGCCCAGTGGGTTCAGCCAGCCTGTGAGCTAGCAGCAAGGTGGAATCCGCCGTACTAGACTTCTCTCACTGTTAAGATCTTTGCAAAGGTGTTTACACTAGAGGGCTACTTGGGCTGGCCCAGGGACCCACACTGCTCAGAGATGATGGAGATTGAGCCAGGTCGGGTGGCCATCCACACGGGCCACCCAAGTGGCTCCTCAGAAGGAGGTTCACACCATTTACCCCACCCAGCTCCCTTTAATTCCACAGGAAAATTCCCCCTTACTTCCAAGATCAGGTCCATGATCCAGGGAGTCAATATCCAATTTTCTCTGTGCTTTCTTTGACCTAGTAGTTAAAAATCATAAGCTCAGCCGGGCGCGGTGGCTCAAGCCTGTAATCCCAGCACTTTGGGAGGCCGAGGCGGGTGGATCATGAGGTCAAGAGATCGAGACCATCCAGGTCAACATGGTGAAACCCCGTCTCTACTAAAATACAAAAAATTAGCTGGGCATGGTGGCATGTGCCTGTAATCCCAGCTACTCAGGAGGCTGAGGCAGGAGAATTGCCTGAACCCAGGAGGCGGAGGTTGTGGTGAGCCGAGATCGCGCCATTGCACTCCAGCCTGGGTAACAAGAGCGAAACTCCGTCTCAAAAAAAAAAAAAAAAAAAAAAAAAAAAAAAAAATCATAAGCTCTAGAGGCAGATAAACTTAGGTTTCCTGGTTCTAGAGTTAACTGCCTCTCTAACTTTCAACAAGTTGTTTAATTTCTCTACACCTCAGTTTCCACATCTGTAAAACGAATTATAACCAAATTCACAGTGTATTGTAAGAATTAATTAATGTAGGTAAGGCGTGGCAGCTCAGACCTGTAATCCCAGCACTTTGGGATGCTGAGGTGAATGAATCATTTGAGGCCAAAAGTTCAAGAACAGCCTGGCCAACACGGGGAAACCCCATCTCTACTAAAAACATAAAAATCAGCCGGGCGTGGTGGTATGTGCCTGTAGTCCCAGCCACTCGGGAGGCTGAGGTAGGAGAATCGCTTCAACCTGGGGGATAGAGGTTGCAGCGAGCCAAGGTCATACCACTGCACTTCAGTCTGGGAGGCAGGGCAAAATCCCATCTCAAAAAATTATGAAATAATGTATAAATGCGGTCAGCCTCATGCCTGGCATGTGTTACATTTTTAATAATTGCCACCCAATATCATTGATGTGATCATTACTTTGTTGTGTTGTTATTGTGTTCCTTGATCTTTCTTTCCTATAAGGCTATGAGCAGCTTTGGAGAGCAGGGACCATATTTTATTTCTATTAATTTTCCTGAATATCTACCATGATGTCTGGCACATAATAAATGCTCCATAATTGTTTGTTGAATGAATGGATCGATGAATCAGCAATTGCTTTGAAGTATCCCTGCTGGAAAATATGTTTCTATGCTTAAAAAAAAAAAAGAAAGAAAGAAAAAGTATGCAATGGGTTTGGGGTAAGGCCAGAGGTTTTTCTTTCATGTAGGTCTGAGACAATTGTTAGCATCCTTGTGAACTTGGAGAGAGAGAACTGGATGACATACCTTCCAGAGATAGCACATTAGGTGTCAGAAAGCCAGCTGTGCTTCATTCTTATCCCTATGTAGTTTTTAAAAAAACAATTAATCAGCTGTACAACTACCCTGTCCGACGTCTTGCCTTGTCTCTGCTCATCGTCTGTTTCCCTAATTTATCCCCACCACCAAAGCAAGAAGACTGATCTTAAACTCATGGCTCTGTGGACCTGCCAACATGGAGTTAGTTCACATTTTGCCTGAGGTGTTATAGCCATGTGGATTCACTTGAACAACAGGAAAGCCAAAACCATTCCCAAAGGATTCTAGAAATGACTTTTGGAAGCACATTTAAAAAATTCCCAAATGGATGTGCCCGGAGTAAGAAAAGCCTACAAACAAGTATAATCACCTTCAAAGTGAAAATCTCTCCTATCTCAATTGCATTCTTGAGGGGTTGGTGTTTCCAAGTGTCTGCTAAGACCCCCTACATTTTGTGTGTATTATCACATCTCTAAATATTTAAGCACAATTCTCTATCTAAAAATGTTCCACATTTGCCGTGGAAACCCTCCAGTGTTTCTAAATTCACATGTACTCTTTGTGTGTGTGTGTGTGTGTGTGTGTGTGTGTGTGTGTGTGTGTGTCAGACTCTCACTCTGTCACCCAGGCTGGAGTGCAGTGGTGTGATCTCAGCTCATTGTAATGTCCATCTCTCAGGTTCAAGTAATTCTCTTGCCTCAGCCTCCCAAGTAGCTGGGATTACAGGCACACACCACCACACCCGGCTAATTTTTTGTATTTTTAATAGAGATGGGGTTTCACCATGGTGCCCATGCCAGTCTTGAAATGCCAGCCTCAGACAATCTGCCTGCCTCAGCCTCCCAAAGTGCTGGGATTACAGGCATGAGCCACTGCGCCCAGCCCACATGCACTCTATGAGGAGAGGGTCCTACATTACTATCCTCAGAAAGGAGTGAGTTTGCATGTGTACACACACGTGTGTGTGAGGTGGGAAGCTAGAGCTTATGGGTGGATTATCAAAAGATTTCACAGATTCTAGAAGCAGGTCACGCATCTCGTGATCTTCATGCTGGAAAGATTTGTTTGGTTCCTGAAAAACCCATCACCTATGCTTAAAGGGATATTCGCTCACCAAATATCCATTGAGCACTGCTCTACACAGGACTCTGATAAACATTCTAGAAAATAAAGAAGCCACCGGATAGGTAAGAGTCCAGTTGAGTATAATTATCCAAAGTACAAGAAAAGGCAGAAATGATGCTGGTTATAGCGTTGAATAGAGAGTGATTATTTCTGGCTTGAAAGATCTGGAAAGGCTTCAGAAGGAAGTGAAAGTTGAACTCAGTCTTGAAGAATGGGTAGTTTTATCATTAGTGGAGGAGGAGGGATATGGTGGAAGAACATTCCCAGAAGGTAGATCAAGAAAGAACAAAGGGCAGAGCTGGCAGGTGACTCAGGGATACACTCAGGCCTGTTTGTTCCAAGCAGAGCTTCTACATTGGGAAGTAACAGGAGGAAATTTGCAAAGTGGACATGAGTGTCTAGGAAAGGACCATAAAGGCCGTAGTACTAAACAGGACTCATTAGTTTGTGGTGTGTAAAAATAAAATTAATTAATAATGACTTAGTATCCTTCAGGAAAACAAAACAGAAACTCTCAAGCTTTAGGAAAGTAAGGGGAGGGGGGACTCACTTAGCTTGGAAACACATAGAGGCAGTTCAAGGTATCAAGACAACCCTAAGAGAGGGTGTAATAGGGGCCAGTGTGGTGGCTTACGCCTGATCCCAGCACTTTTGGAGGCCGAGTGGGTGGCAGGCAGATCATGAGGTCAGGAGTTCAAGACAAGACTGGTCAACATAGTGAAACCCTGTCTCTACTGAAAATACAAAAATTAGCCAGGTATGGTGGCACGCACCTGTAGTCCCAGCTACTCAGGAGGCTGAGACAAGAAATCACCTGTACCCATGAGGCGGAGGTTGCAGCGAGCCCAGACCATGCTATTGCACTCCAGCCTCGATAACAAAGTGAAATGGAAAGGAAAAAAAGAGAAAGAGAGAAAAAGAGAGAGAGAGAGGGTGTAACAGGGGTTCAGTGGCTCTAATGCTCCCTACTCTCATCTATTTCTTTAACTTTCTTCTGTTTGGTTATTTGTATTCTCTTTTAATACACCAAGTCTTTGCCTGTAGCCCCAACTTTTAAATTTAATTTAATTTTTTATATTTTATTATTTTATGTTTTATTTGAGACAAAGTTTCACTAAGTTGCCCAGCCTTGTCTCAAACTCCCGAGCTCAAGCAATCCTCCCACCTTGGCCCCCCAAAGTGCTGTAACTATAGGTATAAGTCACCTCACCAGACAGTCCCAATTCCATAGTCCGCTATTAGAGTGATTTCAGAGGCAAAATTGCCTCTTGCACAGCTCCAAACAAAAAATACAAGGGTGGAGTTCTGATTGCTGTGGCTTCAGTCACGTGACCACCCTACTTGAATCACATGACAATGGGATAGGGGCATTATTATGTGATTGGTCAACCCTGTGTCACACGCCTACTCTGTGAGCCAGGAGAAAGCTTTGTGGTTAGGTGGGTGCAATAACCACCAGCCTTCATTGCACCATGCTAAGAGTTTTATTCTTTCATGAATTAATTCACTCCTTCACATAGTCATTTCTTCAGTTTTTTTCTTTTGAAAAAGGGTCTCCTCTGTTGCCCAGGCTGGAACATAATGGCACAATATGGCTCACTGCAGCCTTGAACTCCCAGGATAAAGGAATCCTTCACCTCAGCCTCCTGAGTAGCTGGGACCACAGGTGTGTGACACCACACTGGCTAATTTTTGTATTTTTGGGAGAGACCAGGTTTCTCCCTATTGCCCAGGCTGGTCTTGAACTTCTCAGCTCTTACCTTGGCCTCCCAAAGTGCTGGGATTACAGGTTTGAGCCACCACACCCAGCCTAACTTTCATCTTATAGACAATGGAAAATTATTAAAAGATTTTTCGGGGGCTGGGCGCGGTGGCTCAAGCCTGTAATCCCAGCACTTTGGGAGGCCGAGGCGGGTGGATCACGAGGTCAAGAGATCGAGACCAGCCTGGTCAACATAGTGAAACCCCGTCTCTACTAAAAATATAAAAAATTAGCTGGGCATGGTGGCACGTGCCTGTAATCCCAGCTACTCAGGAGGCTGAGGCAGGAGAATTGCCTGATCCCAGGAGGCGGAGGTTGCG